ACCGGGGGCTGCGGGAGTGGGCGGCGGCGACGGCGAGCGGGCGGCGGGCGCTGGAGGATGCCCTGGCTCAGGCGGGCGGACGCCTCGCAGCTCGCAAACCAGGCGGCAGTGTGCCGGCCGCGGTAAGTCCCGTTGGATCGCGGTAGCCGGACCGGGGAGACAGTGTCGCCCCGTGAGAGGGGAGATGGCGCCTGACCGGGAAGATTCAGAGGACAGGAACCAGTACTATCAGCCCGGCTGCACCTTGGCTCCTTGCCGCCTTGGGTATCCAGGCGGCGTGAAGGGGCTGCTGTGCGACGTCGGTTAGAGCTAGTGAGTCTGTGAACTGAGTGCGACGGAGCCACGCTGCTCCGGGCCAGGCCGGGATACGGGAACACCAGCCTAGATGATTCCGATCATTCCCTGGAGCGACCTAGCTGAGTCCAACAGGGGCTGGTGAGCGAGGCACCCGTGGAGCTGGCACTGAAGTCCACATGGGACAGAGAAGGAAAGGGCCAAAGGAAAAGGAAGGTAGAATTTAGAAGGACCTAGATGAAGTAGGGGGCACAAGAAGCTATCTGGACGGAGGACAGGAATTCTAGAGCCCCTCACGTCCGACCTGGAAGAGACCGGGTTTTATGAGCTGTCCGGGCCCTGGCAAGCGCGACAGTCTGCAGCCTTGGAGTCGCCAGTCCTGGCGCCTAGGTGGGGGCAAGCAGATGCGCTAACGGGGTTCAGATACTAATTTGGTTGTCCCCAGGCGTGATTCCTACACTTCATTTGCGCTCTTCTCTCTGTATAATAGAGAAAGAGTGGGCCACCCATGGAGTTGGACACTTTCCCTAAGAAAGGGCTTTGGGCATTTGCCTGTTCTGAGCACCCTTCCCTCGGTGTGGTAGCCTTTCAACTGAGTTTTGTGGAGGCAGCGGAGGGATCGCTTGTCTTTATTAAAGGAAAACAGGAAGGGGGTCTTCTGGCAGTCCTCATTTTCTGTGGGGTCTTCTGGCAACAGCTCAGGCAGGGCACCTCCGACTTAAGGTGCGCACCACGCTCCTGGTTCCTGCGGTGTTAGCTGTGGTGGTGGCGCCTCTGCGCTGCGGGTAAGAACTGGGGCTGCCTGCGCCTTTCAGAGCCTCACCAGGTTTTTGGTGCAGCAAACGGTGGTCCCGGCTTATTTGTTTGGGGGACAGACGTCGGTTGGGGCAATACCGAGGGGTTCTTTCTTCTGTTTAGAATCAAGCAGTGAACATGCATCTGTGAGGCCCTCTTCTACAGCCCAGCGAGTTTGGTTAGAACCCTAAGCCAGAGGCAGAAAGCTGCGCAGACCTGCAGCTTGAGCCCGGTGACAGCCTCCAACCAAACCTCAGGGCCAGCCAACTTTTCTTTGCCAAGGTGTCATTGCTGGAGCCTCGGGGGTGCGTGCAGAGAAATGGTTTCAAAGAGGAAAAATAGGGTCGCCAAAGCAGCGTCCACAGTCTGGTGTCAGTTTGTAGGATGGGAGTAAGAAACTGAGAGGAATTTTCAGAGGAGCTGCATATCCCTTTGGCCGGCCTTTTGAAGTTGTAGACCACAGGTGCGGGGCCTGTGGATGTGTGAGGAAGCACCTCTCTTTTTTGCTTCCTTTCCTCGCGCCTTCAAACACTTTGGCCCCTTGCTAGGGTGAGCTGGGCTCTGTCAGTAATCGGGTGCCTTTCTTTCTCACCCTGCCCCCACTGCCTGCCTGTGCAAAGAGGACCCATAAATTAGTTGGCCCTTTTCAGTAAGGGAGAGAGGACTGCGCCATGGGGGCAGAGGAAGTGAGGAAGCATCTCAAACTTTTCTATTTCAGAAATTTTCAGTGGTATAGAAACGTAGAAAGATGCCCCTGCCCATTGCTTGTTTCTCAGAGTACTGGAGACCTTGTTTGAATAAAGGCTTCAAAAGCCATGCCCCAAAAGATGGCTGTTTGGGGGGGATATGCTAATTAGCTTGATGCAGTTATTCCACATCACACAGCTAGATCATAGCCTCACTTTGTGTCCGGCAAGTTTATACAATTATGAATGTATATACAGGAACCAACAAAGCAAATTTATGGGTCGAAAATAATAAATTACGTTGCCTTTTCAACTTACTTTTTGAATGATCTAGCAAAGTGACAGGTTTACGTATGGAATTTTCATACGTGTTTCATTTTGGCTTTAACCTTAAGAGAGAAAAAAAAAGGTATTCTTAGCTGACTTCATCTGTCTGCACATAGTCCTATCTCTGTGGCTGATGTCGGTTCATTGCAGGTTGGCCTGACCATCAGAAATAACTGTTCTGTGTTTGGCTTCTGTGCTGGACTGAATCCCAGGGCCTCACCACAAATGCTAAGCATGGCTGAGTTACATTTTAGCTCCAAAGTATGACTGTTACTAGTGATCCCAGTTAGAGCACAGAGGATGTTCAAGTACGAGGGAAGGCATTCCTCTCCCCGTTCTTATTAGGGGTGGGGGGTGGAAAGACAGCCTGCTATTCTTCGTGGACGGAACGGGGGAAGGACATTTCAAGAGGAAAGACAAATCCAGTTACTAAGGAAAAGGGACTTTTAAATTTTTCTATACCTATCTATCTGGGGGCATGAGTGAGATTTTAGTTGACCAGTTGCTGCAAGAACACCAAAATAATTGGGGGGAAAAAATGGGTAAAAACTTCACTCAGTTCCTAAGTCATACGCGATTTTTTCCACATTTAGCACTGACATACGTGTAAGGGCTGCAACGTGTCCTTCATATTAGCCTCCTCCAGTGAGTCTTGTTTGCTAGGAGACGTTTGCTTATGTAAGTTTTCTCTGAGACACCATCTCTGCTATAGCTGTTGCAGGGCTCACTGGGAAGGCAGCATGCTCCAGGGGTGCATTGGGAAGCCTTGGGTGGGCCTTCCTGTCACACTTACTAGGCCCTCCGAAGAGGTGTTCTGCCTTGGATTTGGTACCCAGTGTGATTTTCCTACTGTAGAGAGGTGCCACATATACCAGAGAAGGCCAGGAGGGTTTGCAGGAGGAATGTCTTCAGACCCCCTCTGTACACCTCTGTATTTTCTTTGGGATGAAAGTCATCTCTGAAAATGTCAGTGGAGTTCTTGGAGCTGGGTAGACTTTGGAATGCCTTCATGAAGAGTGCTGTATAAAGGGACCCCTTGATTAACCTTTTGTTAAGTGGACAACTGTCACGTAGGTGAGCGCTTTCACCACGTCCTCCCAGATAAAACCTCGATATGTTTGTGTTATGCCACTGCAGGCCCCTTTCTCACATCGTCCCTTTCAAGTTTCCCCTGCCCATTGGGGAACGCAGATCCCCAGGGATGGCAGGCACTGGTACAGTATTGCAACCTGTGGTTTGAACAATGCCAGATGTTAGACACACTCTGAGACAGGAGGCCGAGGGGTCCATTTGTCAGCATCGGCTGGTAGGAGCCAGAGACATTGGAATGATGCATAGGGCTGTTTTACAGAAATATGCTCATGTGAGATGTTCTGAGAGCCATAGTTTGTGACCTCATTTCACTACACTGGGGACACTGAGGCACAGTGTCAAAAAGGTGAAAATACTCAAAACGTTGAAGGCAGGCTATTCAGTCTCTTACCCACTCCACCAGAACTTTATAGTGAAGAGCAGCAGGTGGTTTTAGATGTGAATTTTTAACATTCTCGGTGCAAGACTCTTGCGTGTTTCAAATTATTGCTGAGAGTTTGCAAACCTGTTTTAATTAGAGGCTGTGAGCAATCGAGCCGCGCTCTGTGACCCAGTTCCCTGGCCATCGTTGCTTACGAACACTGCTGTACTGGAGGCAAAGGGAAGAGTGAGTCTTCTGTCCCCTGGCTGTCACTCTGTCCCTGCAGAACTTTCGGAAGCAGTGGAAAGGTCAGTGTTCCGAAGTCTGGGCTTTCCCACTGAGCTTTGAACGGGTTAGAGAAATCTCTTAACTTTCCGGAGACTGTGTTGCTTTTCCATCACATGCTTCTCAGGATCTTAAAAACAAAATGATCGTCACCACTGTTTGCTAAAGAGAGGAAGCTCTAGGTAAAGGATGCCCTCCGATTTTATTTTAGCTGGTGTTCTGTTGCTGTGACGAGACACCACGACTGCGGTAATTCTTAATAAGGAAAACATGTTATTGAGCTTTCTCACAGTTTCAGAGGTTTAGTCCATTGTCAGCAAGGCAGGAAGCATGGTTGCATTCAGACAGACATGGTGCTGGAGGAGCTGAGAGTTCTACAGCCAGATCCACAGGCAGCAGGAAGGAGCAAGGAGAAACTGGGTATGGTTCTGGCTTCTGAAACCTCAAAGACACCCGCAGTGACACACTTCCTCTAATAAGGCCACACACACTAAGGCTCGCAAACAACCCCACTGCCATTCCCTAAGTATGCAAATAAATGAGTCTGTGGGGGCCATTCTTATTCAAACCACACCACAAGTCTTAACTGACGGTTTCTTTTGGGCCTGTTTTCAGTAACTGGCTAGATGAGAAAACAGAGTAGTCCAGCCCTGCCTGTATCTGCATCCTATAACTACTGGTCATCAGGACTTCCAGGAGGACAGTGTGTCCGCTTCCTGAGGGCAGCCCAGCTGTCCCACAGGAATGTGTGTGAAACGGTCAACAGTCCTGTGTGCTGAAGATGTTCAGGGACCATGGAGACAGCCACGTGAGCAGTAGTGTTGAATACAGCTAACTTAGCGAAAAGTGGATTCCTGTCACATTATAGAACTTTCCCGATTCATTGCTTACGATTCATTGCCTAAACCATCATGTCAGATTACCAACAAAAGCCAGCCACCATGTGGGACACATGATGATTTAGACTATCACGATGATTTAGGTGGTGTGCATCACATAGTCTAAATCGTTGTAAGTCTTCATGTGACAAAGAATTTATTAAATCTGTTACCCCAAATAAAGTAAAATAAAGCAATAGAGAAAAACAATGAGTGAGCAATGGGATTGAAAGATCAGTTAGAACCAAATAACCATAAATGGAGAATCTCACCTCCCTCCCTCTGTCTCTCTGTCTCTCTGTCTCTCTGTCTCTCTGTCTCTCTCTCTCTCTCTCTCTCTCTCACACACACACACACACACACACACACAAGATAAAATAAAAGCTGGATCTAAGTTGGATCTG